AAGAAAGAAAAAAAAAAGAAAGAAAGAAAAAGAAAAAAAAAGGAATCTGCTTCGATCGTGAATTGCCTGCCCCTTTCAGGCCAAAGCAGGGGAGGCTGCCCAGTGTAGCCAGACGTTTTACATCAGGTTTCCACCGGATCTGTCAGTGTAGACCTGGCCAGAGTGCATGGATGCTGGTGTCCTTGTCTCCGTGTGGCTCTAACTGTGCAGACTACTTCTGTCTCGTGAAATGTGAGCTTCTCCTGTCCAGGTTTCCGTGTATTTAGTGCCAGCCTGAACATTAATGTTTTGGTCTACTATGAAATCCTTGTTTCTGTATTTTCTCTGTGATTGTGTTCACCAACTTCACTGAGTTTTTTGTGTGTTTTGTTTCATAGCTAAATGAGCTCATTGTTGGCACGGCTTTTGGTTTCTGCAGCTTCTGACTTTTATATGCTTTGTCTTCCAGCTCATTTGCTTTCCTAGTGTGTTAAAAAGGCTCCTTTTTCCTTTTCTTTTTCTCCTTTTCTCTTTCCCAATCATCCTCTTTCTGTGCTCTACACCCCTCTCTCTCCTTCATCACCTTCTTTCGACAAAACCCTCCTTACTTTTTAATTCCCACTTGTCCTCTCTTGGATTAAAATGGAACTTATCTCTCATGTCAAATGTTTTATCACATTATATCAAGTGGCATGAATTAGAATCAAATAATCTTCCTGTGTACATCTTCTAGCATGACCCACATCCACTGAGAATGCCTCATACATGCATAAGCTCACCGGCGGGCCATCCCCGCTCTCTGCATGCGTGCCTTTATGAAAGTCCTGAGCCTAGTATGTCTGGGGCACGATCTCCCATCCAATAGGCATTGAAAACAGACAGGCATCAGCCTTGGGCCTGCAGTCAGGAGCGTGGACATTCTGCCCATCTCCACTGAATTCAATTCCGAACCCCAAATTGACAAGAAGCCTGTGTATTGTTCTTTTCAATGCCTAGGTTGCCTTTTTATTCCTTTGATTGGTACCTTCTGACTCGGTTTTGTGTGGCCCGTGTACACACAAGTGTGTGTGTGTGTGTGTGTGTGTGTGTGGCGTGTGTGTGAGTGTGTTTCTGTATGAGTGTGTGTGCAAATACCTTCATGCTCATTGAAACTTAAAAACATCTAGTACTGAATTGGATGTTTAATTTGCAGTTTAGGCTCTTGCTTCATTGACAAATAATCTACCCTTCTTCCCTCTTTCATTTTTTAAATTAAAAGTGCAAGGGGGAAAAGTTGAGGGAGAGTTGTTGAAGGCAGTAAGGCAAATAAATGGTCATTTCAGTGGCTCTTTTTAAGGGAAAGTGCAGCCAAACTGTCATTTAAAAAGGCAGCGCAGCCTTGGCTGGACAGATGGTAAACGTGGACTTGCCGGACAGGAGAAGAATGTGGGCACAGGCGAGCCCTGCAGTCTTTGAGGGGGGTTTATACTTGAAGGGAATAGTACAGAAGTAATGCTGAAGCCCGTTTAGGCTCGTCCAAGCCTAAGCGTCACAAGTACAGAATCCCCATCCTCTTGTTGTGTTGCACTGGCCAGAGGAAGATGGCACCAGTAACACTGCGAGAACCCTCCCAAGACTTAGTTTCATGTTGTCCCAGTTTTGTTTTTCCAACAGAATCTTTATAATATCTTCCTGCGTATCTGATTTTTAAAAGCTTAACCATTTTAGCCATTCACTTCCGTTCACTGTACATTACTCTCAGTCCCACAGAGAAATCATTTTCAGGAGCATATTTAGACATGAATTTCTGGGCCATTCACTATCTTTCCAAATAACCTGATCCCCCGATTTATAGACTATATTGGTGCTAGGCAACCTAACTGATGCAGTACAAAAAAGTTATTGAATCTGTCATGGATTTAAGACATTTGTCATTTTAAAAACCCAAAGCTTCTCACAAAGCTTCATTACCATGCAGCCTCAGTAATTTAATTCAGTACTTACTGTTTTTCTATAATCTAGCAGCAAAACATCAGATTACCAACATGTTTGATTATTTTCGGCTTCTGTTTCCTCAAGCATGGTGTTTATTTCTTTGCATATATGCTCTGCAAGGCTCTCGTGTCCAGCGAGCAAAACAAGAGAATAGGAACATCAGGCAAGGGGCCTGTGAACGCTGCCCCCCCGACATTTCCTGCTGTAATGAACTTCCTCTTTAAACTCCGTTCCTTATCAGCAGTGGTCCTGGGGAAAGTTTCTAAACAATTGGCAGAGACCTATTGAGAAAGACTTGTTGATCTGGGAAGTTTCTCTTCCAAATTGTTGCATTTTGATAAATGGCAAAAATGAATAATAGCAAATTAACATTTCGAATGAAGTAGAAAGTATATGTCTCCGGGATTGTTTGCTGTTTGGGGGTTGCTGGTTCTGACTGTGGTGTTGTTCTCTGGTTTTTCTGTTCCTGCCGGCATCTGTCATTCAGAGGCATGTTCTAAGGGTTTCTGTTGTGTTTTTAACTGTGTTTCAAGTCTCAGTTTTCTTTACCTGGTAAGTCCCGTAAGTTCTTGCTTTGGTATTGTTCCTTTCTTTGCCCTATGAAGTGTGCCCTGGTAGAAAAGGCTGGATGGCTTCCATGTACATTTTTATCTGAGAATGTTCAGAACGACAGCCAGTCTGTCATCTGTGCTTTCCGGGTTAACTAGGCCCCCACCCAGTGCTCTCTGAGCTGGTTTTCTCTCTGTCTGGTCGTTGTACTTTTGGCTGGAGGTGGGTGCCTTTGAGAGATTGTCAGCACAGCCTTTGGGGCTCTGCATTGACGTCCTGCATTGTCATCTATTCTATCATGTAACGTAAGAACAGGCTTTCAAAATTCATCTTCACCAATTTTTTTTAAACCAAGCATTCTCTAGATTTATAGGAGGAACATATAATGTTGCCTGATCAAATCATTTTTTGCAGTGAAAGTTTCCCTGTTTATTAATACAACTGTTTTATGGTTTTTCCATAAAATACTAACAATACTTTTTGGTAGCATGCCTTAAAAAGAACCTAACTAATCCCACAAAAACTGTTGGTCAGAAAAGAATCCCTCGAGTATTTCCCTTGATATTTTAAGTGTATGGCTATATATGCTTTTTATGTGCATTTTTCCAATGAAATGAAGTATAATTGCTACAAAATAAGTTTATAATATTTAGAAACAAAATATTCAGAGATTTGAACCAAGAGAATATCTCAATGTGTACAATAACAATGAATTTAAATTATGTTAAATATACTGAATCTTTAAAAGAAAATCAGATTGCTGTAAGACTCAAGTGGAACCTTGGCCTCCTTGACAATTATTGCTGATTTTTAAAGAAAATATAAAACGCAGATATGAAATAATCTTGATATTCCTGAAGCAGCAGCTAAGGAGGAAGGCACAAGCTCAAGAAATAGCTTGAAGACAGCGATTTAAAGTTGGAGTATCCATAAATCATGCAGATGGCTTTCCCCCTTCTCTAGTGATTAATTCAGCATCTTCCCCAAAACAAAAACATGCCTTTTGAAATTAGAGATCAGATCATCAAGCGAAGCACCTAAGATTTCAAGGTCTAAACAAAAATTAATCTATTTTCTTTCCTCCTTGTACTTCTTGAAGACACAGACTGAGAAGAAAATCGGGATTAAAAGAGATGTGCTTAGGATGAATTCATCTGCTTAAACCTCACAGGCTCCGAGATGAGTGATTAAAAAGCCATCTCGAACTTGGATGGAATCCACACTGGTAGTAATGCCGCGTCCACGCTGGCTCTCTGCAGGCCCCGTGTCATTGTGCACCAGGCCTGGGCACTGTTTGACTGGGGATGATACGTGGATTACCGAGGTCAATTATACACTTAATCTGCCTTCTGGAGGATCACATATTTGTAGA